GGTTTTCCTAATCCCTCCCCCTGGGTGACCCTGGAGTCAGGCCTCATGGGAGAAGAAGAAACTCCGATATGCTTGCTTTTTCTCCAAGAAGAACAGGACAGAACAGAATAGCAGAGCTGGAAGGGACCTTGGAGGTCTTCTAGTCCAGCCCTCTGCTCAAGCAGGAGATCCTAGATCATTTGGGGCAAATGGCAGTCCAGCCTCTTTTTAAAGGCCTCCAGTGATGGGGCACCCACAACTTCTGAAGTGATGGTTTATTGCCCTCACTGTCAGGAAATTTGCCCTGAAATCCAGAAACGTCCACCATTTAACGTACTGGGTTCCAGTTGCAAGAAGGCAGATGCTGGCTAAATGCTGGGACAGCATCCTGGAACTGAGAGCAGCTGGATGACGGGAGCCCTAGAAGAGAAGGTGGATTCTTCCCTGTGTTGGAGGCACACAAGCTGCCTTCTCTGGGGATAAACTTGGGTGTCTGCAGGGCGTGGGAGTTTGGGCTCAGCCACCCCCCCTTCCGGCTTGAAAAGGCTAGAATCTGCAAGAAGGGGGTCCCCCTCTGACTCTAGGGCTGCCCTCCCTCCCTCACAGACCCCCCCCTCTGGTTTCAATCGGGGCCCTCAAAGCCCCATCCGTCTAACCTGAATATGCAGATTTGTTGCACCAACTTCATCCAGAAGTTAAAAACCAGTGAATTGCTGGCTGAGCTCCAGAGACAGAATCCTCAGCCGGTCCAAAGGGCTCCGTGCACAGAACACGCAGAGTCAGAAAAGGGCTGACCCAGGGTGACCCTGACCGGGCTGGGCTTGTCTTACCTGGTGCTGGCTGAGGGGTGCTCAGGAGTCCTTCCTCAGAAGCATTTCAGCTGCCTTTATGAGCCTCTCCTGGTCACTGGGGCTTCCTTGCCCTCCAGGATCTCACCGCCCAGACACAGAATGCAGGTCTCCTGGCAAGGGCAACCGGGCACCACAGGGAACACGGGTCACTTTGCCCTCCCCTGTCAGGATGGGTGATGTCAGAGAATAGCAGCCATGGAGAGTCGTCTCCTCCCTTGAGTCCTCCAGGGCTTCCTGTGGTTCCCCCACCAGCCTCAGGAGAAGGGAACACCAAGGCAGCCTCAGTACCGGTTGAGTCAGCCTCTCTTCCTCCTGAACGCGGAAGGACAGAAAGGCTCTCTGGCCTGGGACCTTTTGCCCCTCGCCCCCTCCCTTAGCAGGCTCTGGAGCAGGTTGTCGTTCCTAGACAATAGGGCGAACAGATAGAACAACTGGCCCGTGACAATCACTGTCTTCTACAAGACACGTAGGTCCTGCAGGGAGCCCCTGGCTGCTTACCCCAGAGAAATCTGACCCCCAGGAGTTGCTCAAGGCAACGTCCTTTGTCCATGTGGTTGGTCACCAGTGGAACCACCTGCCTCCAGAAGCGGTGAATGCCCCAACACTGGAAGTTTTTAAGAAGAGACTGGACAGCCATCTGTCCGAAATGGTGTAGGGCAGTGATGGTGAACCTTTTAGAGACCAAGTGCCCAAACGGCACCCCAAAACCACTTATGTATCATCGGGTCCCGGGTGGGCATGGCCCATTGGGTGGGTGTGGCCCATTGGGTGGGCGTGGCCCATTGGGTGGGCATGGCTGCAGTGGTAACGGCAAACTGGGTGGGAATTAAAAAGTTCAATCAATCAATTCCAACTTTGCGAGATCTTTTTTTCCCCCGCGAGTTGAAATTGATTGAATGATTGAACCGGGGGGGTTTTTTTGCACATGGTGGCGGAGGCCTAAAGCGAAAAGGTTTTATAAAACCCAGCTGAAGGCCTAGGACTGGGGCGACGGCGCGAGTGCCCAAAGAGAGGGCTCTGCATGCCACCTGTGGCACCCGTACCATAGGTTCGCCACCATGGGTATAGGGTTTCCTGCCTGAGCAGGGGGTTGGACTAGATGACTAATAATAATAATAATAATAATAATAATAATAATAATAATAATAATAATAATAATAATAATAATAATAATAATATGCCTATCCCAGGTCCTGGGTAAGGACTCGATAGGTAGACAAAATGCCAAATCCAGTCTGAACATCTGGCTGACTGTGCGATGATCCATAATAATAATAATAATAATAATAATAATAATAATAATAATAATAATAATAATAATAATAATAATAATAATAATAATAATAATAATAATTGTGGCTCAGGGTTGAACTACGAGGGGTCCTCGGTGCCCTGTGACTTTCCTGAAGATGTTTCATGCATGTCAGCTGCCTCCTCACGCTGGCTGTGCTTCGCTCCTCTCCAGTGACAGACCCCATGAACTGGGGGGAGGGGGGGAAGGCAAGTGGGGGGAGGAGAAAGCAAGTGCTGTATCTCTGCCAGACGTTGCTTCGGGGTCACCCGGCACACCAGCTGCGTGCCATCCTGCGCTTGAACTGACCATTACGGAAACATCCCGCGTGAACCTGACTGGTTGCACGGGGTGGGTGGTCAGTGGGAGGGAGCCTAAGGGAGGGAAGAGTTGAACTTGGGGATTTGGGCCTGTGATTCTCCGTTCCAGCTACGCAACGCACTGCGACTTCTAATGAAACTATGCCTTTCTCAAGAAAGGGAGCCAAGAGTCGTTTCTGTGGGGAGGTTTCTGTGGCCGCAGGTCTGACAATGAACCAGCCGGGTAACCTCCTCAGTGCTAGCTATAATTCTGGCGAACCTGGCTGTTATCGGGCTTCTGCCCAGCAGAGGGAATAGGAAGCACTGGAACCAGCAGGCCGAATCCAACAGTTTCTGATCAGTATATTCATTGCAGAGAAGCGGGGGGTTGGACTAGATGACCTCCAAGGTCCCTTCCAACTTTATTATTATTATTATGGATCATCGCACAATCAGCCAGATGTTCAGACTGGATTTGGCATTTTGTCTACCTATCGAGTCCTTCCCAAGGACCTGGGATAGGCAGATGTGGATGTTTGATGGTATCACAGATCTCGTCGCAGGATGGAAGCGGTTCCTAGTAAGGCCGCCTTTTGGCAATTGACTAATGGCGAATTTGTCAATGCCGATGATGGTGTCCAAGTGGTGCTCCAGTTGTTCTGGGGTTGCACCCAAGGTGCCTATTACTATTGGTACTATCCTTGCTTGCCTTTGCCCCAGTCTTTCTATTTCTATTTGTAGGTCTTTGTATTTTGTGATCTTCTGCAGTTCTTTCTCATCTATTCTGCTGTCTCCAGGCACTGCCACGTCCACTATCCAGACTTTTTTGTCTTTCTTATCAACAATTGTTAAGTCCGGGGTGTTATATTGCAGGTGCTTGTCTGTTGGAATTCTGAAGTCCCAGAGCAGTTTAATTTTATCATCATCATCATCATCATCATCATCATCATCATCATCATCATCATCATCATCATCATCATCATCATCATCATTATTATTATTATGTTACTAGCAGAGGATTCTGTAACTGCTGTGTGTCACAGGCAGGCACTGTTTATAACGGGGTAATTCCTACAATGTTCACAAGACCAGATTCAATGATTTTAAATAAGAACACCAGCGAGTCTGGTGACAACTCAAAGCAAAACTCAGAGAATCATTTTTTTCAAACAACTTTTTTTTTAAAAAAAACAATAATTTATTTTTCATTTTTCCAATTTACAATTTTTTCAAAGAACTTTTATGGGAGAGGAGAAAAGACATCTGGAGGGTGTTAGATGAGGATGACCCTCCACTCACCACTAGGGATCAATGCTGTATGACAGGGGTCCCTAACCTTAGCCACTTTATGACTTGTGGACTTCAACTCCCAGAATTCCTCAGCCAGCTTGTCTGGCTGAGGAATTCTGGGAATTGAAGTCCACAAGTCATAAAGTGGCCAAGGTTGGGGACCCCTGCTGTATGAGGTGCTACAGAAAGTACGGCGGGCTGGGAGAAAGCGGGAGGGGCTGAGGAGTGTCCGAGGAGGGGCAAGGAAGGGCGGGTGGGGGGGTCTCCCCAGATATTCTTCTCCAGGATGAAGACAGAGGGAGGGCTCCTTGAGGGAGGGCTTTTCCAAATCTCACAGAGGCACTTTCACCTTCATTTTGGACGGACACACAGCAGGCTGTCTTACTGGCCGTCCTCAGATTTACAACAGATTCTTGGTCCGCAGTGAAAAGCTGGATTCGCCATTTCTGTGCACCCGAAGACCTGCTTGCAGAACAGAGAGGGAAAGAGGAGGGCCCACACTCAGAGGCCCATGGAAGGAGAACCCTATGGCCAATTCCCACTAGACCACGGGTAGGCCACCTTGGCTCTTTTATGACTCGTGGACTTCAACTCCCAGAATTCCTGAGCCAGCCAAGCTGAGGGGAAAAGGAGAGGTTTCCAAGCTGAGCCATTCTGGCTCAGGAATTCTGGGAGTTGAAGTCCAGGAGTCATGAAGGGGCCAAAGTTTCCCCCATGCTGGCTCAGGAATTCTGGGAGTTGAAGTCCACGAGTCATGAAGGGCCTAGTTCAGGGGTAGGCAACCTTGGCTCTTTTATGACTCGTGGACTTCAACTCCCAGAATTCCTGAGCCAGCCAAGCTGAGGGGAAAAGGAGAGGTTTCCAAGCTGAGCCATGCTGGCTCAGGAATTCTGGGAGTTGAAGTCCAGGAGTCATGAAGGGGCCAAAGTTTCCCCCATGCTGGCTCAGGAATTCTGGGAGTTGAAGTCCACCAGTCCTAAAAGAGCCAAGGTTGCCTACCCCTGCACTAGACCTTTGACTGTGATAGATCAAGGACAACATTCCCCACTTCCGGGTTTGGGTGCTTTCAGCCACGTCTGTTGCAATTTTAGTTAGTGACAGTCGTGCAGAGACAGCTTTGGGCCATCTCAGAGCTAAATTATCTGCCTGGTACTAACTAGAAGCTCTGACGGTATCAGTGAGAGGGGCAGCACATACATTTAATAAATAATAACGACTATGGAGATTCTCAGTCATCCAGGTCACGATTGTCCCAAAATGTTTTTCCAAGAGGCAACTGGACTTTATCCTTCAAGACGTTTTGCTTCTCATCGAAGAACTTTTTTCGGTTCTGAGCCGAAGAAGCTTCTTAGGTGAGAAACGAAATGTCTTCAAAGGAAAACAAAGTCGGTTTGCCTTTTGAAAAATCAATAAATAATAATAATAAAAAATAGTAATCAACCCCATCTCCCCACCCTCCTTTTCCCAAGTTATCTCACCTTCCAGGACTTTTTTGTGGATTTGCGAGGTTAAAAACGGCAAATGAATGCCAAGATTTGATCAGCCCCTTAGTTCACAGTGTGGAAAGTCAGCCCCCCCCCCCCAGAGAAGGAAATATTAAAAGGGCAGAAAAATATATTTCCTCAAAGGATCTTAAAGAGGCAGAAAAGCAGGCCCAGTTTTTTTTCTTAATAGCCCCAAGTCTCCCTCCCCCAAGCAGAAACCGGCTCTGTAGAAATGCAGATGTAAAGAATCCAGCAATGTTGGAGCTCTCCAGCTACAAAACTTAGGAAGACAAAGACACCTAAAATCTACATACCCCACCCAAACTCTAAGACAGGACATAATAGGATTAACCCACAGATGCCAAAGGGGCACACTCAGATTCAGATCAAAATACATGACACAGGAAATACAAAGCCTCAAACAGGAACAGGAGACAACCTCAAGAGCCCCAGAGGGTATAAAAACCCACTCCCTACATGTGCTCTCTCTCTCTCTTTTCTTCCAGAGCCATCTTTCTGTCTGGCTCTCCTCTTCAATAAACTGCAACTTTCTTTCTAAAGCAGTCGCCATGTTGTTTATTCCCAGGTTGGACTGAACCCTGATGAAGATTTTTTCTTCCACAACGAGTTCCAGCCTTCTGTGACCCCTGCTGAGCAGTGGGCACAATGGGCAGATCCCAATAGCCAATATTGAGGCTATTGGGATCTACCTTAACTAAGTTTTCTCTGTTTTTGAGTATTAAGGAGGAGAAATTCCCTGGATATGGTTGAAAAGTGTTCTTCAAGAAAGCATCAACAACCGGAAGGCTCAGTCTGTCTTTCTCATCTATAAACTCCGTCCATCCCCACCTTCCATTCCTCTGCAGGGGAAAGGCTGAAAAAATGCATCTCAGAGAAGGGAGTGGAATTGTCAGAGATGGGGAGGATTTTCTTGGGAACATGCCCCCTCCCGAGAAAAGATTGGTACTCTTGGTTGCCTACTACTTGAACCAAATCTTGCTAATCAGTGTATAGTAGTAATCCTAGGACAGTAACGGTAGTCCTCGGATTATTTTTTTAGGATTCCAGGAATCCTAAAGAGGGAGGGAACCTTTCTCTTTCCTTGGTCTTCTGAAAATGGGATCCAGAAGGTCTGAAAGAGAACTTCCCGGATCTTCTTTGTCCTTGCTCCATAGATGATGGGGTTCATCATGGGTGGAACCAGGATATAGATGTTGGCAACCATGATGTGGACCCCTGGAGGGATCCTGTGGCCAAAGCGATGAGTGAAAAAGGAGAAAAATGCCGGAGTGTAGGTTATCAAGATCACAATGAAGTGTGATCCACAAGTGCTAAGAGATTTGATTCGGGCCTGTTTGGTGGGAAGCCTGAACACCGTCCGGAGGATCAGGACGTAGGACATCACAATGAAGAGGAAGTCCAGGCCACCCGTCAGGAAGGCCACCATCAAGCTGAAAAGGCTGACCATCCGACTATTGAAACATGCCAGCTTCACCAGGGACATGAACTCGCAGTAAGTGTGGGCAATGGTGTTGCCCTTGCAAAATGGGAGCCACTTGAGCAGAAAGGGGTGGGGGCAGAGGAGGATGGTCCCTCGGAAAAAAACCGCCAAGCCCATGTTAGCGATGACCCGGTGGGTCAAGATGGCAGAGTGCCTCAGCGGATCGCATATCGCCACGTAGCGGTCAAAGGCCATGGTGGCAAAGAATCCGGACTCCATGGTGGAAACAGAATGGACCAGGAACATTTGGGCTAAACAAGCGTCGGCAGGGATGCTCCTGTCCTGAAACCAGAAAATGCTGAGCATTTTGGGAATGGTGGAAGTGGAAATTATGACATCTGCAATTGCCAGCATGCAGAGGAATAAGTACATGGGCTCGTGGAGGCTCGGCTCGCTCTTGATGACCCCCAAAAGAAGGGTGTTCCCCAAAAGGGAGATTACGTAGATGGAGCAGAAGGGGACGGAGATCCAGAGATGAAAGTCTTGTAGGCCTGGGATCCCGAGAAGGATAAAGTGGGAAGGATGGTGAGTGGTCCAGTTCATGGCTGACATGCTGTGATGAGTGGGGGTCCCATTCAGTGCTACCACCTGACAGCTCTCGTCCCCTGAAAGGAAGCAGAGGGATTTCTACACATTGTTAATCCACCGAGAAGAAGCCAAGCAGGGACTTCTCGTTGGGGCCACCTGGTCTTTCAACACCGAGAAAAGAACAGGAGGACATGCTGTGGACACTCTGGGATGGGGTGGGAGTGTCTGAGCAAAATGTAAGTTCACCTAAGATCCCAAAAGCGAACGGTTGAGGCCCCACTTAAATAACATCAAGCCCAGCAAAACTACCTTGTTGATTATGTCCCCGATGTTCCTGCTGCGCATGCCTGTTTTGGAATCCTGGGCTACTTGAACTAAACCAACTCAGATGATCCTAAAGAGTCAGGATCCAAGAGCATTTATTGAGTTAGTTTAGGTAGGTTGGTATCCACACCTAAGGGTTCCTCCTCAAGTCAGGGATCTGGTTTATTGTTGTGTACCTATCTTTAATCTTTCTTTTGGGATGTGTCTACGTAGAATTGGTGGAATGGTTTCCCATCATCTTTGGGCAGCTCAATGACTCCTGATCTCCGAGATTCTTCCTTTCCAGGATCAGGGACCTCCTCAAGACTGGACCTGCCTGATGCACCTCACAAGAAGGCTGGGAAACGAAGCGAAGGTCCCCCCCTCTTCGCTTTCAAGCTCCTGAAGGACCAAGGGTCCCGTGCGCTGTGAGGACCACCTTCTTTTGCTGTCTTTGTCTACCCACCTTACAGCTGGGGGTAGGTGGGGAAGGGGGGAATTCTCGTGTCAGAGGGAGCAGAGGAGGAGGAAGAGGGATGGCAAATGTGTGGGGACCGAAGCTCCTTCATCAGAGATACCTAGAGCTTTATCCTGAGAGAGACTCCTTGCCCACGGTTGGGATGGTCTCGTTTCATCTCTGCTCCTTCCTGCTCACTCACAAAGGGAAGACTTCAAGGACAACCCCATGCAGCTGCTGGGGAAACTGAGGCCCAGAGAGGGTTTTGTGAGAAGAGTCCCCTTCCTCAGGAACTCATCCCAAAATGTTCTTACTTGACAAGGACCCACCCAACCACCAAGTCTCACCTCCCCTTATTGACCTGAGAACCATGCACGACAAAGACCCTGCAGTGGTGCCCTCCCCTGCCCCTCCCCTACCTGCTTCTGTGCCGGGGAGAAGCCTCCTTGTGCTCCTAGCACAACCAGCTGCAAAGGGAGAAGAGGACACGGAGGCTTCTAGGTCCACCAGGTTTATAAGTCCTGTCCAGGGAGAAGACCGGATCCCAGTAGAGTTGCATCATCTGGTTGTCCACGCTGCGCAACCACACAGGGAGAAAGAGTGATTCTACAACTGCTTTACATTGCCAGGATCTTGGGGGACCTCTCAGAGCCCTTTTCTCAGGAGGGGGGGGAGGAGGAGGAGGAGGAGGAGGAGGAGGAGGAGGAGGAGGAGGAGGAGGAGAAGGAGGAGGAGGAGATTGGCCAAGGGGACCTTTGCAGAACAGAAGAACTGAACATCGTGAAGCCGACTCCCTCTCTCAGGAACTGCCCCATGGATTTGGGGTGTGTGTGTGTGTGTGTGTGTGTGTGTGTGTATGGGGAGTTAGATGGCCTCCAATTCCATCCTTACATCAGTCCCCTCTGTGGACAGGACCTTGAAGGAAAACCCTGATGGACAAAGCCCTTTGGCAGTGTCTGTGTGTGTGTGTGTGTGTGTGTGTGTGTGAGGGCTGCAGGAGGAAGAGTCTGGCATAGCAGGATTTTGGGATGCTCTTGAACGGCTGCCTTTTTCCAGTTTGAAAAGTGCCACTTCTAAGATGGCCTGATAACTATATAAATGTATTAGAAATACAGTAAGGGTGTGTGTGTGTGTGTGTGTGTGTGAGAGAGAGAGAGGGCTGCAGGAGGAGTCAGAGGAGTCGGGCATAGCAGGATTTTGGGGTGTTCTTGAACGGCTGCCTTTTTCCAGTTTGAAAAGTGCCATTTCTAAGATGGCCTGATAACTATATAAATGTATTAGAAATACAGTAAGGGTGTGTGTGTGTGTGTGTGTGTGTGTGTGTGTGTGTGTGTGTGTGTGTGTGTGTGNTCTCTCTCTCTCTCTCTCTCTCTCTCTCTCTCTCTCTCTCTCTCTCTCTCTCTCTCTCTCTCTCTCTCTCTCTCTCTCTCTCTCTCTCTCTCTCTCTCTCTCTCTCTCTCTCTCTCTCTCTCTCTCTCTCTCTCTCTCTCTCTCTCTCTCTCTCTCTCTCTCTCTCTCTCTCTCTTTCTCTTTCTCTTTCTCTCTCTCTCTCCCGTATGTCTTACGTCCATCCATGATTAATCCAACATTTCCTAAGGGAGGACCACAAAGATCCCAGGAAACATCTTCTAAACCTTCTTTCTTCTTCAGACAATAGAAGAAATATGTCTTCATACTTTCTCTCATGGACTTCTGCTCTAGAAAGTTCTACCATGCCACCTCAGACTTTAGGATGAATCGGAAGGAGCTGATACCAGTCCAGTTTTAACCCCATCCCACTTCTGGGCCCCAAACCCCTAAGTAGCAAGAAAACCCCAAGGATGGGGTGGGATACAAAGTTCCTCAGCTGCAGGAGACCCCCTACTTTAGAAGGATCCAGGTTTGGCTCCTGGGCCTTCCCAATCCAACATGCCTGGAGTGGCTTGGCCACCTGGAGTGGCCTGGTCACCTGGAGAGATGTAGCAAGGTACTACATTTAGGCAAGAAAAACCAAATGTAAAGGTATAGTATAGGGGGTACCTTGCTCAATAGTAGTAACTGTGAGAGGGACCTCGGAGTCCTAGTGGACAATTACTTAAACATGAGCCAGCCATGTGCTGCAGGTGCCAAAAAAGCCAACACAGTGCTGGGCTGCATTAACAGAGGGATAGAATAAAGTTCACGTGAAGTATTAATACCACTTTAAAATGCCTTGGTAATACTGGAATCCTGCATCCAGTTTTGGTCACCACGATGTAAAAAAGATGCTGAGACTCTAGAAAGAGTGCAGAGAAGAGCAACAAAGATGATTAGGGGACTGGAGGCTAAAACATATAAGGAACGGTTGCTGGAATTGGGTATGTCTAGTCTAATGAAGAGAAGGACGAGGGGGGACATGATAGCAGCCTTCCAATATCTCAGGGGCTGCCCCAAAGAAGATGGAGTCAGGCTATTCTCCAAAGCGCCTGAAGGCAGGACAAGAAGCAACGGGTGGAAACTCATCAAGGAGAGAAGCAACCTGGAACTAAGGAGAAACTTCCTGACAGTTAGAACAATTAACCAGTGGAACAACCTGCCTCCAGAATCCATGAATGCTCCAACACTGGAGGTTTTTAAGAAGAGACTGGACAGCCATTTGTTCGAAATGGTATAGGGTTTCCTGCCTGAGCAGGGGGTTGGACTAGATGGCCTCCAAGGTCCCTTCCAACTTTACTATTATTATTATTATTATTATTATTATTATTATTATTATTATTATTATTATTATTATTATTATTATTATTATTATTATTATTATAGCTTCAGGAAAAGGACGAGCAGCCTACAAGAGAAGAGGCAGCCATTGGCTCCTTGGGTGGACCTTGTTCCTTGAAGCAGACTAGATTCCTTGGCCTCCAGTTCTCCTTTGACGTGGAAAAAGAGGCTTCTGAAATAGAGTGGAGGAGCTAGGTGGACCCCTCCCGAATTCTAGGATCTGTTCCTACCACATCCACTTCTTCAGTCATTTCTTCCCTCCTAGAGACCATGAGTTCTAGTCCTAGTTCCTCCTCAGGCATCAAGCCAAGGGGGTGACTTTGGGTCAGCCCTTCCCTCTCAGCCCAGGAAGGAGGAAATGGCCAACCACTCCTGAAAGAGTTGCTAAGAAAACTGCTCCTCTAGCTCAGGGGTGGGCAACCTTGGCTCTTTTATGACTGGTGGACTTCAACTCCCAGAATTCCTGAGCCAGCCATGCTGAGGGGAAAGGGAGAGTTTCCAAGCTGAGCCACGCTGGCTCAGGAATTCTGGGAGTTGAAGTCCACAAGTCATAAAAGAGCCAAGGTTGCCTACCCCTGCTCTAGGTGGTCTCCAGGAATCAAGAATGATGCAAAGACACACAAAGACACACACACATACACACACACACACATACTGGCTGGGTCTTGGTACTTTTATCCACCAGGTCTTTGCACATGGTTGTGTTTGTGCATGCTCTCCTGCCATTCTAACCCCATGCCCCGGTGGGTTCAGATGGTCACCACACACTGGGGATGAACCTTCAAGGTATGGTTCTCTAAACTCACTCTCCAGAAGACCAGAAAGGTGGTTTGCTGTCCAAGACATGAGGAAGTTCCCTTCCATTCAGACACAGATTCTCTTTTCTGAGTCATTCGGTGTTCTTGGCGGGAGATATTGGAGACCGTGTAGCCGGAAGGATACCATGACTGAGTAAGAGTTGGAATCAGAATAGACTGGAAGGGACCTCAAGCAGGAGACCCTACGCCATTTCAGACAGGTCCTGCCGTAATCCCAGAGGTTGGTGCCTTCACACGCACAAAGGCGAGATAAGCCATGATAGATCATGAGGGATGTCAAAGGAGCAACTTCAGAGCCTGCTTCCTGAGACGTGGGAAAGAACCAAAGTTATTTTATTGACTAAAGAGATGGGATAGATGCCAAGAGAAGAAGAAAAAACATACTGCCACCAAAGCTCAGAGAGATACAGGTAGTCCTCGACTTACAACCGGTTCAAAGTTATGACGGACCTCCCTGGAGGGTGCTTACGACCTGGTTCCAAACTTCCAAGGACTGGAGTGTAGGAAGAAGAGGGTCATTTGTTGTGTTTTAAGCCAAGGGGAGAGGTTACTAAAACGGCTTATATATTGCTCATATGTATTAAAATTGCAACGAAGGAGGAAATCATTTTAAAGAAATGGTATTCTTTCTTTCCTATTTTTATTTCTTTTCTGCACTTTCTATTCTTGGCTTTTATTTTTATTTTTTTTTAGTTTGTATCTTTTTAATGGTGATGTTTAAAAAATTTCAAAATAAAAATAAGAACCGCAGACGTGCCCCGGTTTTAAGCAAGTCGGCCTAAGTGCTGCAGAGGCCGTGTAGTGAGCTGAGATCGGGGGGGGGGGGGGGGGGGGGGGGGGGGGGGTGGGGTTCATGATTGGCAGCTTGGCCATTTCTGACTTCTTCCTACGTCTCAACCGCCCAGAGCCCAGCTCTGTGGGCCAGAGGGAGAGCCAGAGTCCCACCACAGAGCCCCCAGGACCCCAAAGGCCCTGGGCTGCAGGTTGCCCATCCCAGACCAGGGAGGGAGGGGGCAGACAGTGGCACAGGGAGCCCGTGCCCGTCCCTCCTCCCTGCCCAGTCCGGTGCCCGAGGGAAGGATAGAGGAAACGGTGGTTCAGCCATTGTTCCAGAGAGGAGCCTCTCAGGAGGTGCCCAGATCCCGGGTCCTCTCAGCTCCTGGCCCAGCAGTGCCAGAGAGGGGGGGCAGCATGGAGGAATAAATGCCCCTGTCTCTGCTTCTTGCCCTCAAGCCTTGAGAGGAGCTCAAAGGCGCCACTTCCAGACGGAGCAGCGTGCCCTTCCGTTCACTGCTTGTGGCAGGGCTTGCTGCCAGGATCGGCTGCTCAGGACCTGGGGTAAGTGAGGCGGAGGGTCCAGTGACACGTCCCTGAGTGCCAGTCTAGCCAGCGCCTCCCTCTTGCGACCACCACAGTGCTGGGGGCAGAGCAACAGACTGACCAGGCTCTAGTGAGGTGGTTGGTTAGTTCAAAGAAACAGAGAAGCTGGTGGGCATCTCTGTTGCTGATTCCAAGGCTGGTTGTTCAGACATAATAATAATAATAATAATAATAATAATAATAATAATAATAGTAATAATAATAATAATAATAATAATAATAATAATAATAATAATAATAATAATAGTAATAAAGACAGCAGAATAGACGAGAAAGAATTGGAGAAGATAACAAAATACAAAGACCTACAAATAGAAATAGAAAGACTGTGGCAAAAGCAAGCAAGGGTGGTACCAATAGTCATAGGCGCCTTGGGTGCAATCCCAAAACAACTGGAGCACCACTTGAACACCATCATCGGCATTGACAAATTCGCCATCAGTCAATTGCAAAAGGCGGCCTTACTAGGAACGGCTTCCATCCTGCGACGAGATCTGTAATACCATCAAACATCCACATCTGCCTATCCCAAGTCCTTGGGAAGGACTTGATAGGTAGACAAAACTGCCAAATCCAGTCTCAACATCTGGCTGACTGTGTGATGATCCATAATAATAATAATAATAATAATAATAATAATAATAATGATGATGATGATGATGATGATGATGATGATGATGATGATGATGATGATGTTGGAAGGGACCTAGGAGGTCATCTAGTCCAACCCCCTGCTCAGGCAGGAAACCCCATACCATTTCAGACAAAGGGCTGTCCAGTTTCTTCTTAGAAACTTCCAGTGTTGGAGCATTCACCGCTTCTGGAGGCAGGTGGTTCCACGGGTTAATTGTTTTGACTGTCAGGAAGTTTCTCCTTAGTTCCGGGTTGCTTCTCTCTTTCTCTCTTTTACTTTCTCCCCTTGAAGTGACACCTCTAAATGCTACCAAGCTACAAGCTTTAAAGCAGCCCCAGGAAAACTCAGCATGAGCTATTGCCAATCACCTTTTTGATTTATTTTATCCTGTGGCTGTTTCATGGGCATTAAATAAGGAATACGCAAAGACTGGAGTTGCTGCTTGCGTATTATAGCTGCTTACAAAGCAGGGCAGTGGGCAGGCATCAGAGGTTCAGCCTCCGCCTATCAATTCTCCTTGACTTTCTGTCACTCCCTGACACTTGCCACGGGGGAGGGGACCTCTGCATTGCCAGTGGGCTAAAAAGACCCTTCCCACTTTGTGCAGGGGTGGTGTTTCTCCCCCGGAACCCCAAAAGCACATTCCACCCCTTGCATTTGGGATCACCTGATGAGAAAGACAACTTAAAATATTGGGTGGGGAGACCCTTAGCAAGAGGGTGAACCTCTGATTCTGTAGTCAAAGAAGCAGTCTCTTGAGATTGTGGCTTGTTTTGGGGGGGTGGGGGAGCCTCACAATTTTTTCTGAAACTTCCTCCACCCATTATAAGGCATTATAATCCATGAAAAGGCGTGCTGAGTTTGCTGTGAAGTCCATCTGAAAGAGATTCATGTGGAGATTAAACTATCAAAGGCACACCTGAGGGACAAACAGCAGAGGGGAGCAACAATGATGATTAGGAGTTGTTGTTGTTAGTTGCGAAGTCGTGTCCGACCCATCGCGACCCCATGGGCAACGTTCCTCCAGGCCTTCCTGTCCTCTACCATCTTCTGGAGTCCATTGAAGCTCACGCCTCCTGCTTCAGGGACTCCATCCAGCCACCCCATTCTCCGTCGTCCCCTTCTTCTCTTGCCCTCCATCTTTCCCAGCATGAGGCTCTTCTCCAGGGAGTCCAGTGAGATGATTAGGAGACTGGAGGTTAAAATATTTGATGGACGGTTGCAGGAACTGGGTATGGCCAGTCTCACCAAGGATTGGGGTGACAGGATATCCGTCTTCCAATATTTGAGGGGCTGCCACAGAGAAGAGGGAAGTGGGTCAAGTTATTCTCCAAAGCACCTGAAGGCAGGATAAGAAGTAACAGATGGACATTTATTAAAGAGAGAACCAACTTAGAATTAAGGAGAAATTTTCTCTCAGTGAGAACAATTAATTTATATAAATTATCATAGATAGATAGATAGATAGATAGATAGATAGATAGATAGATAGATAGATAGATAGATAGATAGATAGATACATACATACATACATACATACATACATACATACATACATACATTCATAATCAGTCAGTGGAATGGCTTGATGTCTAGGGAGATTCTCAACCATTCTCGGTCATGGTTGTCCCAAAGGTGCTTTTTCCAAAAGGCAGCTGGACTTTGATTTTTTTTCCTTTGAAAATATTTCGCTTCTCATCTAAGAGGGACTTGGATGAGAACCAGAACTGAAGAAGCCCAGTTGCCTTTTGGAAAAAGCATCTTTAGGACAAACGGAGGGGCTTCCCTCCTCAAATTGTGGCTGCTCCATCACTGGAGGCTTTCAAGAAGAGACTGGACAACCACCTGGACAGTCTGGAATGATATAGGGCAGGGGTCTTCAAACTTGGCCCTTTGATGACTTGTGGACTTCGACTCCCAGAATTCCTCAGCCAGGCACACGTGCCTGGCTGAGGAATTCTGGGAGGTGAAGTCCACAAGTCATCAAAGGGCCAAGTTTGAAGACCCCTGGACTTCAACTCCCAGAATTCCTCAGCTAGGCACGCTGGCTGAAGAATTCTGGGAGTCGAAGTCCACAAGTCATCAAAGGGCCAAGTTTGAAGACCCCTGATACAGGGTCTCCTGCTTTGGCAAGGGGTTGGATTAGAAGACCCCCAAAGTCCCTTCCGACTCTGTTGTTTTCTATTCTGTATTCTGATGTGGCGGGAGGGCAAAATTCACCCCCTTCTTCTCCCTCCCTGCAGCAGAGGGCAGAGGTACCTGTGGATCCAGCGTGCACCATGCCTCCAAGGAGCAATGATTGCGCTTAATGGGAGCCACGGCACTCCCTCCTCCTTCGTCCTGTTGGGGATCCCTGGCCTTGAAGCCTTTTACTACTGGATCTCCATCCCGCTCTCATCTATGTATGTTGTGACACTGCTGGGGAACAGCACCATGTTGTACGTGATCGCCACAGAGCAGAGGCTCCACAAGCCCATGTACCTCTTCCTCTGCATGCTGGCCACCATAGACCTGGTCCTGTCCACCTCCACCCTACCCAAGATGCTTTGCATCGTCTGGTTCCGAGCTGGAGAAATCAGTTCCAAAGCCTGCCTGGCCCAGATGTTCTTCATCCATGCCTTCTCGGTCATGGAGTCCAGCGTGCTGGTGGCCATGGCCTTTGACCGTTATGTGGCCATTTGCAACCCCCTGAGGTATGACACCATCCTAACCAGCCCTCTGCTGACCAAGATTGGCATCGTGGTGGTCCTGAGAGGCACCCTCTTTATTGTCCCCATTGTCATCTTAGCGGCACGCCTTTCCTACTGCAAAACCAACATCATTGCTCACACCTATTGTGAGCATATGGCGGTAGTGAAGCTGGCTTGCTCAAGCATCCTGGCCAACGTGGTCTATGGGCTTCTGGTGGCACTGCTGGTGGTCGGGGCTGATCTGCTGTTTATCACCTTTTCCTACTGCATGATTACTAGGGCGGTCCTAGCCCTACCCTCACGAGATGCCCGCTACAAAGCCTTCAGCACCTGTGCTGCTCACGTGGTGGTCATCCTGGTGTCCTACACCCCGGCTCTCTTCACCATCCTGACGCACAGATTTGGCCATCACGTGTTGCCTCACGTGCACATTCTCCTGGCCAACTTCTATCTCCTCTTTCCTCCCATGCTGAACCCCATTGTCTACGGAGTGAAGACCAAGGAGATCCGAGACCAAGTGGTCACCATTGTCCTTAGGAGGAAGGGCCTTTCATGAAGGACTTCACAAGGACGTTCTACACGACTCTTTACACGGGTCACTTGTTGAGATGGGCAGTTATAGAAATCAAATGAAGAAATAGGGATGTCGTCTTCTGAAGAGATCTGAGGAGTTGGGTATGAGAATTGATGGAAGGGGTAGGATAATTGTGCTCTTCCAATATCAGAAAGAGGTCACACAGGAGGATAAGACCTCTATCATTCCAGATTTAAATTAAAGGAAGGCAGATTGAGGGGGCAAGAAAGAGAATATCCACTTGATTAAGGTCTAGAATTCAAGGCACTGGCCTGAACTTCAGCAGATGAAAACAAAAACTGAGGCTAACAGAACTTTTGAGTTATTTATGGAATGTGCTACTTCATGTTTGTTTAGCATTCTCCACACTTAGACCATTCCTGGATCAAGGAGACCACCTTGTACTTAAAGCTTTTAGGATTTGTAGCATGAGAGAAATAAATATTTGTGCTTGTCTGTGGACATACTGCTCTTGAAGAATGACTATGGGGAAAGACATATCGATGCCCAGAACCATCAGGGATCATGAGGCTCAAACACGATGGGATCCAGGGCTATGCTAGGATACACAAGCTCAAAACATACAGAGATAGAAATGTCCTACAAAACAATTCTGAGATTTTTTTTTCTGGGCAAATGTTGTAACAGAAAAAGAATGATAATAGTCGGGGTTTGGAAAGAACATAAACTTCTCATTTATCATATTAAATTAGAGTTACCAATTGTATTTTCAGGGAAATGACTTATGGCTTTATTTGCAGGAGATGTATGAACTTGGAATGAGGGTGAACCCATTCCATATTGTAAGGTTAGGACTCCATAAATCACCGAAACATGTATTTTATACATCAATTTTAGAGACCACCCATCTCCCTCCTACAGCCACTCTGCATGGTGTGCAAATAGACATTAAAGGTAAAGATATGTGTGAATATTATAAAAAACAGTTAAAAACAAGAATACATTTTGTTTGCTTAGCATGGACTTAACCAACACAGCGAGTGCAGTTGATGCATTATTGCTTTTGAAGTGAGAAATATCAGAAAAACAACCACTTTGAAGATGGTTAGTAGCTTAGCTTAGTCCCTTCTTACGTACTTCTTGGGCAGTTTTAACATTTCAATTCCTAATGTCGAATGCTTTTAATCATAGATTATCATTTTAGATTATGTATTGTTGATAAGGTGACCAATCGTCCTCCTTTAGGGAGGACAGTCCTTCTTTTGTACTCATTTAAATAATAATTAATAGGCATGTAAGCATAATTACGATATAAAATGTTGTTACGTTTTTTATTATGCATTTATCATATTATAGTGTATTCTGTATTGTTGCAATGAATAAAATGTTTTATTTACGATATTTTTTTCTTCAATTTATTTGTGTCCTCCTTCTCATTGTAAAAAAGTTGGTCACCTTAATCGTTGAGGGCCGCTCAAAGTTGTTGGGCAGCGAGAAGGGCGGCATATAAATTTAACAACTAAATAAAAGGACACTTCTTTTTTTGTTGAAAAGTTTTATAAAAGTTACAATATAAACCCCAAAACCAACCCACCCTAAACCCCCCCCCCACTTCCCAGAGCTGAATTCAGGGTTACATTATAAAAGGGCACTCTTAAGGCAGGGCAGTCCAGCTTTTTTGAAAGACCCATGGATTTAAACTCCCAGAATTCCCCAGGAAGAATGGGTCGCCTGGGGAATTCTGGGAGTTGAAGTCCACAAGTCTTAAAACTTGCACACAACAACTTGTGTGTTTTGGAGAGGACACTCGTGAGCAAAAACGTGTTGGGGACAACCTCCTCCTCCCTCTGGGAAATGTATTGTGGTTGTGAAGGCAGGCGGGGCGGGGGCTGCACTGAAAAAAGCCCCCTCCTCCGGGGGGGCCCTCTGGGCCCAAAGAGGAGCCGGGGGGTCCCGCAGGGGGTCCCAGGCGCAGGCGCGGGAGGCCTCCAGCCCGCCTCTTCATCCTCCCCTCTGAGCTTGAGGAGACGCAGCCATGTTGGCCCCTTTCCAACCAATAGGCAGGCCTCATGCTCAGATGAAGGCCCGCCTCTTCCTCCTCCTGGCTTGGGCTTTTATGTCGGCCGGACTACGGCTGCCACTTCGGGGGGCGCAGGCCAAGGACTCCGGGACTCGCGTCTCCCACCCCGGCGGGACAACCCCGGCCTGCGCCCTTCCTCTTCCTCTCCCGATACTCTCTCCCCACCCACCCGCGCCTCCTCCGGGCCCGCCCTTCTGGGGCCCTCTCCCCGCAAAGCTGGCGGAGGAATTCTGGGAGTTGAAGTCCGCAGGCCCTTTCCGGAGAAGGCGGTTCCCCTTTTCCCCCCCAGGCACGCCTCCCAGGCCTTGTTCCGTCTCCAGGCCAATGGGGGGCCGAGCGGCCGGCGGAAGAGGCGGGGCGCGTCGCGTCACTTCCCCCAGCGAGGATAAACCTCCCGGCGTGCCGCGCGCGGGGTCTCTTTTCGCTCCGCGCGGCCAAGATGGCGGACACGCAGGTGGGTCCCGCTCGGGCCGGGGCTCGGGCGGCGGGTGGCGGGGCGGTGGCGGCGGTGGCGGCGCCCGGCTGAGCGCGCTGTGCTGTGCTTCCCCCGCAGACGGAGCGGGCCTACCAGAAGCAGCCCACCATCTTCCAGAACAAGAAGCGGGTCCTGCTGGGCGACGCCGGCAAGGAGAAGCTGCCCCGCTACTACAAGAACATCGGCCTGGGCTTCAAGACCCCCAAGGAGGTGCCCGCGGGCGCCGGGAGGCGGGAGGGGGGGGCGCTGGGCCGCGGATCCTGGGGGGTCACGCTCGTCTCTCTCCGTTTCTCCCTCCCCCCCCAGGCCATCGAGGGCACCTACATCGACAAGAAGTGTCCCTTCACCGGCAACGTCTCCATCCGGGGCCGCATCCTCTCCGGTAGGCCGCCCTGCAAAGCCCCCCTCCCCCCACACCCCTCCCCCTTTCCCCCCCTTCTGTGTGTGTGTCTGGGGGGGGGGAATGGGCTAAATGTCTATGGAAGTCCTGTCCCAAAGTCGCTTTTCCAACTGGACTTTTCCCCCCCCCCTTTGAAAACGTTTCGCTTCTCATCCAAGGAGCTTTCTCCGTTCTGACTGAATGGTGGGGAATGGCTACGGAAAAGACCCTCTGGGACAACCATGAGAATTTCCATAGGCATTTAGCGCTCCCCCATGTGTGTGGGTATATATATGTATATGTATGTGTGTGTGTATATATATATATATATACATATACATGCACACACACACACATATACTGGGCCGACAGGGTGTTCAAAAAGCATTCATCCTCTTCCCCTGTCTCTTGTAGCTAACAAAGTGAGAAAGAGCCTGTGGCCTAGGGGCAACACTTCTGCTTAACATGCAGACAGCCCAGGTTCGAATCTCAGCAAGGGTATGTCTGGCTGATGAAAACCTAATAAGGTTAGAAATAGCTATCCCAGTACTCCCTTAATTCTTTGTTAGCAATCCAAATTTTGAAAAACATATATATATATATACACACACATACATACATATATATATATAATACACACACACACACACACGGATATATCCCTCTCCCTTTTCCCTTGGGGGGGGCACTAAATGTCTTGAGTGTTCTTGTTTTTTGATGCACCCTGTCGGCCCAAATATGGGAGGAAGAAATCTTTTGGGCTGACAGGGTGCATCAAAAACAACAACAACAACACTCAAGACATATCTCCTCCCCTGTCTCTTCCCTCCCTGATACAGCTGACAAAGTGAGAAAGAGCCTGTGGCCTAGGGGTCAACACAGCTGCCTAAGTGCAAGCAGCCCAGGTTCGAATCTCTAAAGGATATGCCTGGCTGATGAGAGCTAATTAGCTCGAAATAGCTATCCCACTCTCCCTTTAACTTTTTATTAGCAATCCCCCCAAAATTAGTGCATATATAATATATATGTGGCTGCTAATAAAAACAGGATCGCCAACATCCGATAACGGATACGGCACAAGAAGAACATACATATATATCTGCATTACTTCATATATGCATATGTGCATTACTTCAGAGTTAGCATCTTGAAGGTCAGCTGTCAGCTCTCTTGAGAGTCCTTGAAGCCACTTGGAGGCTTATCTGTATCTTTAGAGTCCCCTGAATTGGGGTGCAAATGAGTGCAAACCCACCAGGACAGGACTCAGCGGCCCATCTGCACCTGAAAGACAGAGGCCACCCTTTGGAATGTCCACATTCTGGGCAGAGAGGACCCCTGGTTTGAAGGAGGGGGTCCAAGAGGTCATCTATGTCAAAATTGAACAGCCTTCAATTTTGTGTAGGACACCACCCGTCTCCTGTTTACAACACAGACCTTTCAGCAGTTCCACACCCATTTGCACTTAGGTTCAGGTGACCCTGAAATTACAGGTGACCCCCAGGTGGCCTCAACAGTTCAGAGTGCTGAGGACCAGGTGACTGCAAGGAATATAAATCCCTCCATTGGCCGCCAGTCATTTAGAACCGAAGAAGCTTCTTGGATGAGAAGTGAAACTTTTTTTTTTTAGCTAAGAAAGTCCAGTTGTCTTTTGGAAAAAGTACCTGTGGGCTATCCTGGTGGGTCACTGGTTTGTGCTTCTACCCTGCCCCCCCTTTCCCTCCCCCCGCGAGGTCGCTGTGGCAAGGGATGCTTTTCTCACGATGGTCTGCGGAGCCCCTGAAAGTGGGTGCTGTCGACACTGCCCTTTGGCACGACTGATGCCCAGCCTGGCCTCGGGCCCTTCCTGTCTCGCCCTGAAGCCCAGGATGGGCCCCCTGAGGGGCTCCTG